CAGTTAAAGGCATTAAACTTCCTAATTCAGGACATTGAATAGAATGTAAAATCATAACATTGTTGATAACAGTAACAGTTTGAGTACTATACTCTAAACTCTGAATATATTTACTCATTTAATCCTATGATGTAGTCTGGTTTTACCAATTTTGCTGAGGAGACTGAGGAACAAAGAGATTGTCCCTTGCTTAGAATCACAGTAAGTGATAAATTGTTAAACTAAGATTCAAATACAGGTCCCCATAACTTTTCTCCCATTCTACTTCTGAGCACTGTGGTATATTAAATATTCTTATTGTGTAGAATATCAAGAGAATAGGATGCTTTCATATGAAAATTATAAAGTGGAAGGAAGAATGCCCAGTACCTAGATTGGTGTTTATTCATGGCCCTACAAAGAAATTGGCATTGGTTTAGTGCCCTGTCAGTCTCTGTCCTCAGGGCCTAGTGAGGCCTCAGTAATATTCTTTGCGTAAATGTTGGTTAATCACTGTTGGAGTGGAATGAGAATTGGTGATTTTTTTTTTTTTCTTTTAAGAAACAAGAATGTTTGAGCTCCTTTCAACCTTTTTAGAAATTTTAGTTCTGAGAATTATGTAACTCGTAAATTGTAACCTGTTTCTTAGAAAGGTAATTTTGAAGCTGTCAAGATAACAATATGTAACTCCAGTTCTCACTGGGTAATAGTTTCTAGAGTACAAAGGGAACATCTTAATAATTCTTGTAAGGAAGTATTTCTAAGTTTAGAAAAAATGTTAGAATTACTCCTATCATGTCTCTCATCATGAAAAAACTTTGCAGATTATAAAAAATAACAAGTCACTATACGCAAGTCATTTAACATAGACATATTCTTGAGTAAGAAATTTTTTTTTACTGTGTCAAGAAATAACCATAATTAAAAGTTTGAGATATACTTTCATAGTAACTATATTTTAAATATAGCTACTGTAATTCAACATGCACATTTTGCTACATTAGAACATACAGCATTAATGCATAGTAGCTTTACCAATAATAGCAAAGGATTCAAAATAGTAATAATGAATATTTAAATTTCTATCCCAATGTTTTGCAAATGATATTTTTTTCCTCTCAGGGAAATTTGCATTATCCAGGAACATTTTTAATTAGTTGGAAGTATTTCCGTTCTTGAGAAAGAGATACCTGGGGCACAGTGACATTATTATGGTTCTGCCTTTTAGTATAGCTGTTTGACATACATTGTATATATCTGAGTAGTCAATCCATTTCATTAATTTTCCGATCACATACATTTAGGTGGTTTCTAGTTTTTTCTTGCTCAGTTGTTTCTTTGGAATAAATTGTTGGAAATAAAATTATTGAGGTAAAAATATGTATTCTTTTAATTATGAATTTTTATGTATGCCTTTTATGAAATTCAACTGCTAGATGCTTATACCACTTTATTAGGTGGAATGTCCTTTTTGCCACACCACCTTAGTTTTATTTCTGTTTTTTAAACATCTCTAAATCTTATGATAGATAAAACTATTTCATTTTTTTTAATGAATTTGAACATCGTGTTGTAATGTGACAGCAGTACCATTTACAAGCAGCTGATGACTTGATTTACATGTTTTGTGGGATTCTAGTAGTGTTTCAGATATTAAAAATGACAATATTAAGTCATGAAGTCAGAAGAGTAATTGAGCATGTGTGCATAAGACCCCTCTTCCCAAATATGCCTTCATCTCCGTACACTGTTTTTAAACCATGTGAATTATACTTAACAGTTTCTAGTAAACAAGAATTGGTAAACAAGTATCCTGTGTAACTCACTTAAAATTAGGTGTAAAATAGTATTTTTTCCTTCATTTATTATATGTACCATCCCTTTTCTCTTTTTTCTTTCATTATCACATCCCCAGTGCCTTTTGAGTCATTTTCCTAATTGTCTCCCCTGTAGTATTTTAATACCATAATGTCTAAAATACTGTTGGCCCTTCCGAGAACCAGGTTTTGCTCCTGTGGAGGTAACACTGCCCTCCCTCGCCCCATTAAGAGTACGTTCTTTGTGTGTGCATGTGCGAGCATCTTTGTATTGATATGTGGGGGTAATGCAGGAAAAGCTTTTTAAAAAAGTGAATAGGTTTCATGGAACTCAAGGGAATCATTGCTTCTGTTATTTTATCAGTTGTCCAGAAGAGAAAATTAGGTTTAATAATTGCTACCATTGTTTAATCAGTCTGTTTTCAAACTAAACATATACCTTGGAATACCCAGTTACTTAGAATGTTCTAGGGATGGTATTTTAATTCTTTAGAAAGTTGCTGTGCCAAAGGCATGATGACATTAATTGACAGCATTTGTTGAATTTAAGAAACAGTAGCATTAGAGGTTATATTACATGTTCAGACCTCTATCCTAGTGGTTTTTAAACAATGATTTTTGCCTTCCAGGGGACATTTGCAGTATCTGGGAGCAATTTTAGTTGTCAGAACTGGGAGACGGTTGTTTGAGGAATCCAGTAGGTGGATGCTTAGGATACTGCTAAATATCCTGCAGTACGTAGGGCAGCTCCCTGCCTCTAATAACAGTTACCCTGCCTAAGCTGTCTGTGCTGCTGAGGTAGTAATTGTACTCCTCGGAATCTATCTTTAAAAAATAAGCCAAGTAATGTGTCTGGGATTTGGTTGTGTGTGTGATTTTTTTTTTTTTTTAACTAGGACATAGGTTATGATTTGTAATTTTGGAAAATGGGAAATTTAATTCTTTAAGTGTCACAAAGAGATTTGATTGCCCATCCCAGAACTTCGAATCTGAGAAACATTAAAGAATTGGAAACTATACGGAAAACTAACTTACTCATTTTAGCAGGTCTCCATAAATACTTGTTCACTTCCTATTCCCTACTTTGGTTGAAGGTACAGTATAAAAGTTCATCAACTATGTGAACAAATTTTTGATTCTGGGCCCGGGGATTTAGCTCAGCAGCACAAGCACCTGCCTGGCAAGCACAAGGTCATAAGTCCAATCTCCAATACCAAAAAAAAAAAAATAGTTTTTTGTTTTCTAACAAAAATGTGTCTCAAAAACATGATAATATGGAAATAGATTAAATCTCAAAAGAATGGTGAATATTCTTTATCTTTTTTTCTTGATATACTACAAAATGACATTTTAAAAGTAAATATACTTTTCAAATGTATTCTTGTTTGAACTAATGCTAAATTTAGGATTTTTATTAATAGTCATAATTTATAATAAAATAATGAGTGACTTCATTATAATCACAATTAGTTAAGCACAGCAAAAAATTATTTCCAAGGACCTTTTCTCATTTTGTGTTCGGAATGTTAAGTGCCTTCCGAAGGTATTCAGGGTCTACTAAATGTTAAGAATGGTGAATGCTTCTTGAGATCACTTGAGCAGTGACTAGAGATAATCATGATTTACAGTTCTGCAAGGTGAACACACTGGGCTCCTTTTTCCCCTCTGTAAGCTAACATGGGAAGATAAATACATTTTTAAAAAGTAATTTTTGCTTTAAGATAAAGTCTCTTTTCTTTAAAAATAAAGAAATATAGCATCTCTTGACTTTTTATAGTAAGATTATGCTATATGCCTGTTTCATAGGCAAATGATACTGCAAATTTTGTCTTAGAAGAACTGTTTACTGAAAATTACTAATTGCTTTGCAATCAAATTTTTTTAAGTTCTTTTCCTTTGAGACTTTAGACATCTGATCATTAGTAAAATGTGCTTTTCGACTTTTATTTTTAAAAACACTCTTCTGTGAGAACTGTCAGCATAAGAATAATTAATCATATTTTTCTTTAGCTCTTTGTTTTTTTTATCTTTGTCTTTGTCTTTGTCTTTGTCTTTTTGAAACAGTGTCTCAGCGATTCAGGCTGGGCTTGCACTCACTTTGTAGCCCAGGCTGTTCTCAATCTTGCAATGATCCTACTGCCTCAGCCTCCCAAGTGCTGGGATTACAGAATGCATCATCATGCCCAGCCCTTTCTCTAGCACTTGTCAAGAACTATCTCATTATTGAAGAAAACTGTTTTTCTTATATGTGATAACCTAATAAAAGAAATTTTACTTGTGTTTTTGGTCATTATCTTCTAATAAAAACATTGACTAAATTATATAAATGTTGGAAGATAACACTACCAGGTTTGTGTTATAAGAACATTATTTTAGATTTAGGGGACATACCACTAAAGGATAGGTCCCCAGAAGATACTGATCATTGCTTGGAGGAGTTGCTGCCAGCCATAACAAGTTGTTAAAAATGTCTTCTTCTAAGACGGGAAAACATTCTTTAAAATCATCATGTAGTGACAACATTTCAGTGTCTGTAATGGTTCAGTATTTCGGTAGTTAGACTTTTTTAAGGCAATACTGTCTAATGTGACTAAATTTAAATGTTAAATAGAACATGGTCACTTTTCTAAAAATCAAGCATTTAATGAATTGTTACTGTTGATTCTATATCAAACCAAACTTTAGACCTGAAAGCAAAGGAACTTAGCTCAGAGTGCATTTTGCTTAGCAACCAGCTTGTTGTCTACTGTTTTGCTACTGAATGCACGTACTCATGCCTCAGAAGTATATCTGCAGCCAGCTGGACTCAACTGGACAATACTTCATTCACCTAATTTCCAGACTAGTCAAGCAAACACATCAACTCATTGTATTTAGTCCTGAGGAAATTTATTTGTAAATTTCAAGTAGTAGCACATTGATTTCAAAAGCCCCTGAATGATGAGAAATTCTCTTCTAACTCAGGAATGTGAAGTCCTTGCAGTTCAAAAACACTTAATTTTTTTTTTCTCTTAATGCTTGCAAATACTATATTGTTTCAAAAACATAGCTTCTAAAATCCTAAAAAAAGTAATTAGCTCTTAATAGAAAAAAAAATGTGGAAATCTAACTTAAGAATTATCTCAATGAAAATTTAGAAAGTGTAATTTGTATTCAGGTTTTTGTCATCTACCTTGATTTTCACATAGTTATTTTCACTTTTAGAAAACAACAGTTTTGTTGGCATGTGAAGCTGCGGTTTCCTCAAAGTCAAGCTGAGTACATAGAAAAGAGGTATAGTATCACCACTGTCTATTTAGAACTGATGATTTTTATTTTAAGGCTGTGTTAAAATAACCTTAACTAAGTGTATGTCAGTGGTAGAATGAATAAGTTGCAGTTACAGTCACACTAGGAAAACTAAACTGAGCTGAAAATAAGTGAACTACAGCTATGCTTATCAGTGACTCACAGAAATAATGACAAAAGAAATTAAAAATGAAAGCGTACAATATGACTTTTTAAACATGAAAAGAAAGAAAGAAAAATAAACCTCCCAAACCTAAACAGTTACTTTTTAGATCTACAAAGAGGGAGAACTTTTAAGAAATGATTAACAGAAAAATCATGACTAATTGAGCAGGGGGAACACATATTAAGGAGAGGGATGCAAGACAAATAGTGTGTAGAAAAACAAAAATATCTCAAAGTCTATTCAGAAGTTACTACTGTTAACATTGTAATGTATTCCTTGGAAAATACATGATTGTATATATATACTCATCATTGGAATTAATTTGCATAAAGTTTGTTGTCTTTTTCATAGTAGGAACATTGTCAAGAGTCACTTTAAAAGTTTAACAACTGTGCTATTCAAGTCCTTGAGTTGGGGAGAATTAAAGTTGCTATTTAATACATTTAGCATAAAATACATTCGCATTATAGATACCAGCCTCTTTTAGTAATTGCCTCATGAATTTTAGTGAAGAACTTGATTTACTGAAGTTGATACCAGACTAGAAACAAAAGAATTAGTTTCCAGACAGGACTATGTTGCCAATAGTATAAACTACTATGTATAAATAAGGAAAGTTATTTTTAAATTCTCTTTATTTATATAGTTTATATAATAGCAGAAATGAAAAATCTTAAATACTTCATTTACAGGGAAATTAATATTAACTCTTTAACCTGATATTATGATTTAGAATGAATAAACTTGAACACAATAAAATCTGAGACCTTTCTTCAGATTTGTCTTGTTTTGTTTTTATTTTTATAAATTTCAAATATATTTCATCATGTCCTCTTCAGCACAGGTGTGTGTTAAAAGAGGCTTCATATTTTTTATAGTTGATATATTCAGAACTTTTCAAAATTTTTTTAAAATCTTAAGTGTACCTAAGAAGTCTTTTTGAGCTTGAAAGGATGTTACAGTTTGCCAAGAGTAAGAGATGTTTGTTCAGTTATTTAAATCAAAAAAGCCACATTTAATAATTCTAAGTTAATACCTTTAGTAGCATAGTATAAATAATAATCTTTTTTCTCTGTTGGAAAGAGTACCAGATGATAAAACTATTAATGAAATTCTAAAACCTTACATTGATCCGGAAAAGTCTGATCCTGTAATTCGTCAAAGGTATGTCTCAAAAATCTTGTAACTGTCTGAAGATCCAATTAAAATGTTAAATATTTTTAGCTACATATTTATTATGGAAAGCAGTGCTAATTCATTTAATCATCACAGTATGGTAGACTTATTATTATGCCCATGTTACAGATGTGGAAACTGACCTTTATAGTGGTTAAATAACCTTATATAACTTATAAAAAGGAGAGCTGGAATTCAAACCCAAGCAGTCCAGAGTCAAAGTCTGCCCTCTTAACCCTTAAACTAAACTGCCTTTCAAGTTGAAATAAAAACTGGAAAGTAAGACTTTCCAAGTAGCTGTTAAAGACAGGAAATCCTCTTTCAGCCAAGTCTTCATAGAACTAAGTAAAGTACATTCTACCTCCTGTCCAGAAATACAGCATGGACAAAAGTGGTTAACATAGCATAGTGGAAAATTTCAGTCATGGGTATATGAATTAAAATAGCTAGCTCTGTCCCTTATTAACTATTTGATCAAGAGTAAATTACTTAACTTCTTGGCCTTTCATAGTTCCATCAGTGAAATGAGAATGATAGTACCTACTAGATAGAGTTGTTTTTTGAAATTTAACAGAAATAGCACATTAAAAGTTCCTAGTCCAAAGCAGCAGATAAAAAGAAGTGTTATTGAAGTATGAGTTATTAGGGTTTCTGGACAGAAACCCAGTTGACTCTACTGTATTTTCACCAAATGGTACTTATTAGAGCTATCTATGAATGCTTGTTTTGGTTTCAGAGTAATCTGGTATTTAAAATTTAAACTCTGTGGATTCTAAATCCTATCCAGTTCTAGTTAAATCTCATTTTTCAACATTCTATAAGTCGTATTGCCTAGACTGGTCCAACCCCTTGTCAGAAATCAAATTGTACCTTTGAGACAGCTATAATAATTGAATTTCTTTCCTTCCAGCTGATAATCTTGGTGTTATTATTAGTTATACACTTGGCAGTAAGATAAAAATCCCAGTCACTGATTTGGATGTATTTTTTTAAAATAAATATATAAAATAGCTGATTAATTAGCTGAAGTAGTTTTTTTCTTAAGAAGAACAGAGAAAAGAAAGGTAATTCTTTTTCAGATCCTTGATTAGAAAATATCTTTACCTTTTTTCAATGCTTGTGTACATACATTTAAGTTTTATTGGTTGTTTATAAATGTCTTTTTATAAGACTATCTTCAAATGTACTAAAATCAATTTTGCTTATTTCAGTATAATGCTTTTATTTCAGGTTGAAAACCTACATTCGTTCTCAGACCAGCATCCAGATTTTAATGAAGGTTGAAAATATGCAGCAAAATTTAGTAAGGTAAAATTGGTTCCTTCGTCATTTCTTTAAATATTTTCTAATTTTATAATATAATTGAGTTGCTTGCTTAATTTATAGTTAGTCTATTGTCTAGCTGCCTACAAAACCTAGACCTACCAAAAAAAACCCTCAAATGAAAATTTTAAAATAATCACACTAGGGGCTGGAGGTTTAGCTCAGCAGCATAAGCACCTGCCTTGCAAGCAGGCAGTCGTGAGTTTGATCCCCGGTACCGATAAAAAGGAAAAAGACAAAAAAAAAAAAAATTTTTAAAAATAAAATAAAATAATCACACTTATAAATTTGGTTGAAAAATTAGCCTAGTTAGAATATTTTAAAATATTACATATTTCTTATAACAGTTATTAAAATATTACATTAATTCTGATTGCCATGTTACTTATTTAAAAAAATACTCTGTGTGACTGAATTCCAGTGTTCAAAGTCAGACCTTTGGAAATATGAAAACTGACCATTTTTGTTACTGTTTTGTGGATGTGCTGTCATCCATTTTCCACTACTCCCCACTCCAGCCTTCATTGCTTCCTTTATGTATATTTATCTGTTCTTAATTGAAAATAGTAGTCATGGGTACTATTTTAATTACTACATGAATGGGTTTTTTTTAAATTAATAGGTACATATTTGATTGCTTTTTTTTTAGAATTAAAAATCTGGTATCTATTTTGGTCCACTTTAATGTTAGGTTCACTATATGTATCTGTACTGTTAGCCAGAATAATTAAACTTATTTACCAGAACTGAGAAATAATTTATATCCTTGTGGTATAATCCTCAGAACAAAAATTTTGCATGTTGGCTTTGTTGTTTGGTTAGTTGGTTTTTCTTGGTTGATTAGTTCTTTATTTTGATTTGTTTCTTGTTTCCACTTTATTTCCTTTCTTAACTGAAATAAAAAATATGCTATTATTACCCCTTAAGTCAAGGCAAATGGATTGTGTTTTGTAAAGAAATGTGCAGCTCTTTATGCCAGTCACATTTGACTTTTTAGCAAAATGTCCTCATCTTGCAAAACTCAAGGAGATAAAAATGTGGTTAAAAGTAAATATAGGCTACTGAGTTTGTAGTATAGGACAGACTTCTTGGGTACAGATAGCATTTATTTTTAAATTAGAAATCTGTTGTAAATCCTGTTAGTACGCATCAGCTACTTATATAGCACGTGGCATATAGCTGATCACTCTCGATAAATTTGTATTCAAGTTTTTTTGAGCTATAATTAGAAAAACATTTACTAACATTTTACTGAGATGACTTAATGAGTATAAGAGATTTTGTTTTGTTTTTTAAAACCTAGAGTTTACTTCCTTAGTAAATGGAGATCTGCTTAAAATAAAAAGTTCCACATGGCTGACATTTGAGTGGTTTACACATCACTTCTTTTAAAAAGAATAGCTTCTTTCAGCCAAATAATTTCTTATATTTCTGAAAAGTACTCCTAAGTTCATTGCTAGCTTGTACTCAAAACGGGCCACTCATCACTCAGTATGAGGGAGCAGATATACAATCACGTTGGTATATTTCATTTGACATAAATTAAATATTGGAAGAAAATGAAGTTTCAGGAGCTTAAGATGTCATCAAATATTATTTCTGTATAAATGATTCCCAGTCTCGATACAGATTTTCAGCCTTTCTCCCAGGTACCAAACCCTTGTTTCTAGCTGTCTCATTTACACATTTCATTAAATCTTGAGGTGAAAATATCTAGAGCTCCTCTGCCACATATATTTATTCCACACGTGTATGTCTGAGTATGTTTTATATTAAGTGGATTGAGCATGTTCTTGCCATCTAGTGCACAGCCAACAAAAGATAGTTCTCGTTCCCTGTAACTGGGCTGTCACCCTTCTAGCACACTGGCCTAAGACCTCGGAACCAGCTGTCTTTCACTTCTTCACTTCTCCCTTGCACCTACCATTCCTTATATATCGGCCCTCCAGAATGAGAATCTTCTGCATTCTTTTTTGTTTTTGTTAGTACTCATTGCCACACACAATGATCACATTCATCACGGGAAACTTGTACTTCTACGTGACATACATTTTGTTTTTCCTATCCCCCTCCTCTCCCTTCAATCTTGTTTCGCCTATTTGCAAAACTAAGTTTCCATTTTTTTCTTTCCAGTCTTGTTTTTTAAGTCCCTTTCCCTTCTTTCTCTTCTCCTTGTCCCTTCCCTCTTCCCCCTTCCCATTTAAACAAGTTATTCTTTCTTTCCAATATCTGTCCTTCATTTTGCTCTTTGTGTGCCAGTTAGATTTCATATACAAGAGAAACAATGTGATGTTTGAACTTGTTTGTCTGATTTATTTCATTAAAAGTTACAATCTCAAGATGCATCCATTTACCTAAAAATGTCTTTCAAGTTAGTCCCTGTTTAAGGCACAGTATTACTCCATTGTATATAAGTTTCACGTTTTCTTTATCTATATCATCTGTTGATGGGCATATGGACTATTTCCAAGAGTTAGCTATTATGGGTTGTGCTGCTACAGACATGAATTTATACATCACTGTGGTATGATGTCTATAACTTTTTTGGAAAGATACCTAGAAGGGCAATAGTTGGGTGAAATAGGAAGACCCCAAAAAACCCCAACAAAAGACTCCTAGAATTAATAAAAAATTTGGCAGCATAAGCAGGACACAAACTTACACAAAAATCAGTCCTATAACAAATAACAAAGACACTGAGAGAAATGAGGCAAACAATACCTTTCACAGTAGCATCAAAAAAATGAAATACTTAGGAATCCATCTAAAAGACCTCTGCATTGAAAACTGAAGTACCCTGAAAAAGGAGATCAAAGAGAATATCAGAAGATGAAAAGCATCTCCTGTTCTTAGATAGGCTGAACCAATAGTATAAATGGTGTACTTCAAAGATTATCAGATGTAATACAATCCCTATCGAAATACCAATAGCATTCCTCAAGGAAAAATAATTCTAAAATTCATATGGAACCAGAAGAGACCTAGAATAGCAAAAACAACTGTGGGCAACAAAGGCAAATCAGAGGGCATCACAATCCCTGATTGGAAGTTATGTACTGCAAAGCTAAAGTGGTAAAAACAGCACAGTACTGGCAAAAACAAAAACAAAAAAATCCTCTAAAATGAATGGAACAGAAACTGCAGAAACAACTCCAAGCACACGTTTTTGTCCATTCTTTTTTTGGTTTTTGAGATAAGGTTTTGCTAAACAGTCCAGACCAGCCTTAAACTCCCTTTGTAGCCCAGGATAGCCTAGAACTCAGTGTATAGCCCAAGTGAGCCTCAAACTCATGGCAATTGTCCTGCTTCCACAGTGCTGAGATCACAGGCATGCGCTACCCCACCTAGCTTTTTCTTCATTCACATAGCTAGACTCTTATTTGCCACTGTATGTGGAGCCCCTTCTTTTGCCCCAAATTGGATGCAATTTCCTTATCCTCTGAGCCTTAGGATGTATTGCATATTTCTCATAGCTTCAATAATCCTGTTGTATATTAAAGCTTATCTCATATTATGATGAACTTTGAGGAAAGTAACTGTCTCAGACACCTTCATCTATTTCCTAAGCTGTTGATTTTCCCATTTAAATCTTAATTTTTAATAAGCAGTCTACTAATTCACTTAAATACATGTGTGCCAGTTATAAGCTAGACTTTGATATCACTTTAATACTCCAGACCATGGCTTAGACAACTTTTTCTGTAAGTGGCCAGGTAGTGAATATTTTTGCCTAAGTCATACAGTTACAATTAGCCAACTTTACCCTTGTAATACCCTTGTAACCAGTCACAGTCTATGTAAATGAGCAGACATGATTATATTCCTATAAAACTTAATACAGACAAAATAGACAGTGGTCAGTGTTTGTCCTGTTGGCTATAGTTTGTAGCCTGTTGCCCTAAACTGTTTTAAGTGGTGATTTGTGATTTTTATTTAACCAGATCGGAACTTGAATTCGCAATATGCAAAATGAGATTTTAACAAGGCCCCCGTATAATTTAAAAGTTACTTCAGAAAATGTGAGGCCAAACTTTTTGATACATGAACTTGATCTAAAGTATACATGGGTTAAGACTGATCAAGTCCACATTTGTTATTTATTCAGTTAATACTCATCAGCCCCCTTCCATGTACCAGCAGGTCCAAGGTCACATAGATGTCTAATACATTAGCCCAAGAGTTCACAATGAGGTGTGGGTGGATACGTGGTACCTACTGCAGTATACATGGTAAGTACCACATAACATATGAAAGGCATAAATGGGGCCCAATGAAGATCTTAAGTGCTACTGCGTAAGCACCTCATACTTCCTTTTTGATGGAAGTGAAAAGTTGCACTTCACTCTGCTTCCAAAAATTGCTGTATAAAGCCAGCAATATAGATTTTTAAACCCAAGCTAGTTAAAGCATCAGGCTTGATTTCATGAATATCATTGTTCTTCTATAGAGTACTGCTCTGTTGCACTTGTACCAATTCTGTTCCTGCTATGCTACTTTCAGTTAATAATTTTGGAATGATTTTTTTTTGTTGTTTGAAAAGCAACCAGAAAAAGTATGAGCTGGTCTTTTTTAGAGAATTTTATTTCCATGCTGAGAGGATATTTTTTAAGTTTAAATAAAACTAAAGTTACTTTGGATTTTTATGGATATTTAATGTGAAATATTTTTAAATCATTTTCTGTCAAGAGATAAAATACCTATGCCCTTTTAGAGAAATTAATTTTAGCTGTATAAAACTTGGGATGAGACCCATTTGGGTGTGTGTGTATGTGTGTGTGTGTGTGTGTGTGTGTGTGTGTGTGTGTGTCTGTCTGTCTGTCTGTCTGTCTTTCATTAATATCTACTCATAGCAAGCAGGCTCTCAGAGCACAGCGAACTTTCTAACTCATGTTACTTGCTCAGAGTCTAACTCAGCTCAACTCTGCCTGCCAAAAGGTCTGCCTTCGGCCTTAGTTGATTGTTAGCACCAGGTCACCTGTTTGCCT